ATCTAAAATACAACTTCATGTGTTTGAGCTACAACCTCCCCATCTATTCGAAGGCCATCATCTTCCAGACAATACAACTATACTTAGGTAGCAAAGCGAAAGTCGAGTCTGATTTCAAAAGTCAGTTGATTGGTCATGTTACTAGAGAACAGACACATACCGCTTGTTGCCTTTATCAGAGGTAGTTGTCCTGTAATGGTGCTGTTCATCCGGCGTCATTGCATCCCATTTCTTAGCCTTTTGGTTGTTCCGCCACCTGTAGTAGAAGAATGTGCCTGGGTATTGGATAAGCTAATAAAATGTGAGATTTCTTCCTGCACGGTATGGGATAATGGAGGTGGATGATACTTACACACATCCAGATACAAATGACAAGTAGGCCCTTGTTTGCTTTAAAGTATCGGGGAGAATCATCAGGCTGGTAAACTATAAATTGTCAGTGAATAATTTCTCAAGGTAGTCTTGGAATCTTACTATTGGCCCCAATCATTCCACTGACTTGAACCCACATGTTGTAAAGACTACAGATAATTAGCAGCGGTGGTGGGTAAAATGGAGTGTTGTCTTACGATGCCGATACTGTCCTGTTTTGTACCGACCCAGCATTCCTACTGGTCCAAGCGACTTGAATCGGGTGAGTACTAGATATTGTTAGAATAGTCACCCTTTGAGTTGTAAAACCACTTACTAAGGGAACGACAGCAAAACAGTAGAGATTGCAAAGTAAGCCCAAGGCCCAATCGGATCTGGCAGGGCGATCAATGCCACGAAGCACGGTAGTAACCATGCATCCTCCGCCATCGACACAAAGCTTCGATTGTTAATAAGCTCACTGAAGGCTGTAATGGCCAGCATTGTGATACAGGAGCCAACGATGTACGGTATCGACAAGAGGTTGGATTCGATGACGTTGAAGCCGAGACCACGGAAGGATAGTGTAAGGTATTGGTTGACAGGGTACTTGGGCAGTCCAAAGAGCAAGCCGAGAGCGTACAGGGGCCACATGTCGTAGTCTTTGGTGCATTCCCAGATTTGTCGGATAGATAGACCTTGTCTGTTATACATGCCTCCTTTTTGAGGGTCATCTCGAATAACTGGAGCGGATTAGATCGGGATGTTACTCATGGCGGTCAATTGGCTTACCAGAGTTGACAATGATCTTTTGTTCCTTCTTGTTGAAGTAACCCTTGGGACACCAAAAGCTCTCGGTCCTGGCAGGTGACTGAGGCATCAGAAAGAAGGATGCAATTCCGATCAGGACTAAGGTGTTATTAGAAAACGTGGGCTCGAAGGATAAGTCGAGTACTTACACGTGAAGGCGCCCTCAATGAGGAAGAGCCATCTCCAACCTTCATATCCGAGAAGACCTCGCATAGACACCAGACCGACGGCGGCGAAACCAACAGCTATGTCCGCTATCATTCTTGTAAGTATCCGTATTCAACAATAGCCTCATCACATACCAAGTTGAGATGACATCCAGAACCAGGCTAGTCGGATTGGAAGCTAAAATGGTCAGTGGTGTTTCGAGTAAGCTTTGGTCCGAACCAACATACTCTTGTGCCAGTGTACCAGTAACTCAAGTAGAGAATCGTGTCGCTGCGGCTTGTCAGACATGCGATATAACCTTCATGCAAAGACGTGACCTACGGAATAAAACCACCTTGAAACGTCGCACTGAGAAGTTAGCAAGGCTAGCCGCCACGACTTGAGAGAAGCTTACATCAAGTATCGAGTGGCAAGAAAAGATGCACGGCCCTTTAAAAAGAATTGCATAGCTGAGATGAAACTGAAGAGGCAAAGCTGGATTGGGATCCACATATCGGGGCCAATGCTGGTAAAGCGTGAGCTCAGCGGAGGGATTCGTGGTAGTTATGTGACTTACCGTTTGGAGATCAGCTGGGAAGGTAACTCGGCCACGAGAAAGCCGACGCGAGAGATAGTTTGTCCAATGTTCTGCAGCAGATAAGTACTTCTCCCAGTACCATTGAGGTGGGTTTGTGCTATAGAGCAACTCACATAGTCACCTTGCGTGATACCCAGATCATCAAGCATGTTATCTGATACAGCGTTCTGAATGTTGTTCCTGTCGATGTTCAAGGCCGCAAACATGACACAAACCCAGATCTACCAACGTGAGTCTCACCCCGTGACTAGTCTCAGACGTTACTTACCATGATCTTCCAGTCAACTTTACGTCGTACTTCATTCTCTTCACGCCAAGTCCAGCGAAAGTTGGGATCAAAAGCTGACCAATTCTCCCACTGCGGGTGGATGTAGAGTTCCTTGTACCGCTCGAGGTCTGGAGAGTCCCAGATACTCGGCTGCGTAGCGATCTAGTTCAAGTTAGGACCTTGGCATACCATGGTTATATGAGTATCGTACCGCATCGAGGTCGTAGACATCGTCTTTTCGGGGTTTCCTGATCCGCAGAAATCGAAGAATGGCGTCGCCCATTGCTGATTCCATTCGTTGGCCCTGCTGTGCTGCCAATGCTGGCGCTGTAGGAGGCACAGAATCGTTGGTGGATCCATTGTTGTCTACCTTGCCTTCCGCTTTAATGCTGCCATTGTCGGAATGAGGCTTTGATTGAGGTGGCATTGTCGAGCAGCCTGTTCACTCTGTAGTGATGATGGAATTTGACAGTATGTACTGAACACTGCAATACCGGGTCACCACAAAATATTTAAATAACTGCTAATCATCATAATACCCTGGAAAGGGTTGTATTGCGATAAATGGGGTCAATAGGCTAAGCAAGACCCCTTATACGCCTTACGTAGTAGCCTGGATCATGGAGTGGCACATCGCGATAGATGGCAATGTGAAAATTGCCTATCTAGGTTAATATGAGGCAATTGCCCGAACCAAGTTTACTTAATCTCCGAGGAGATACAGGGAATAATGATGAAAATTCCATCATCTAGGTTGAGTGCATTGGACTTGCTGGTTGCACCATCGATTGGCAATCTGTGGGGACGATGTCGTGATTGTCTCACCCAGGTCAATTTGGCTGATGTAAGGCGGGAAGGACAATAGCGGAGGACAATTATGGCAAGAAAATTGCAGCGGAAATAAATCTCCATTTATCACGTAACAGAAGCGCTCAGAAGGGTATCCATGCTATCTTCTATCGGAATTGACCGCTTCTTGGTTTGTGACTTTATAAAAATGTTTGATGTAGATACTATGCAAGCTAGGTAATCTGTTAAATTGTGTCACCGTGACTCAGTTCTTGCTGAAATCCCAGGTCGAGCTGTAAGACTTTTGGAGTGAAACCAAGTCAACATCGTGCTTTTGTCGTTGACCCCCCTTGCCAAAATGCTGAGCGTTGATCTGGAGTAAGAGCTGCGAGGTCGAGCCCTCTTCTGCTTTTGCCAACTCGGGAAACGCATCGTCAAACTTTGCAATGATTTCTTCTGGCGTAAAGGTATCCCTCGGTTTCGACTCGATCTCCTTTTGGAAAAAGCTAACATATGCTCGTGTGTGGTCGGTGTCTTTAGTTCCATTGAAGTCTTGTTGGTCACTGAGCGCATGTCCCGGGATAATCCTCTCTGCTCCAAGAGAGTCGATTAACCGCAAAGAGTCAAGCCATGCTTTTGTCATTGACGGATCATCAAGGTCGGCGAGCCACATGTGCATTCCATGACCGTATACAACATCCCCGGCAATCAACGTTTTGATAGAGGGGATCCAGAACATAGTCTGCTCAGGGCTGTCCCCGTTGACAGGCCCAAGTAGATGAACAATTTCGTCGTCCCCTGGGAGCAAAAAGAAGGTCGATGGAAAGGTTTGAGGGATTATTGGCGAGGTGGCGATGTTCTCATCACCCAACGCCGACTTCCAGAACATAGTCTATTTCGAAGTTAGTTAGTTAATTATCTGATTTGGGTAATCACTCACTTTGCCCTCGATGATGTCCTTTACCAAAGCTACTGTCTTCTCGGTAGCATACAAGTTGGCTTGAGGAAAGCTCTCCAAGATGATGTGAGCAGCAAGATAATGATCTGGATGGAAATGCGTGGCAAAGACCGCAACTAATGGCAAACTGGTATGCGAGCGAATCCATGGGACAAGTTCTTTTGCTTGAGGAATAGTCAAGGGAACATCAATAAGTACAGCTTCTTGACTACCTATAATCAAAGATGATACCATATCTTGAGCAATGCCATGGCTAATGCGAGTTTCGACTCGAAGATTTGTAGTCGCCATTGTTTCCGATCCGAATCGTGTCGTTGTGATGTATTAGAACGGGTCAGAGAAACCGTAGAAACTACGGCACGAAAAAATGCATCCATCCCGTTCATCCCACTCGGTTGTGTTAGTCATACAACTTGTGAACAGTAGAAATCTGATTTTCGAGTTGACCGACGTGGCGTACCCATTAGTACGCAACTAGTCTAGCATAGTACCAGATCATTACATATCTTGTTAGATTACAAGTTCTACGATATTAGTTATTAAAAAAGGACATTCTTGTTTTCAGCTTAAAACAGCCGAGCTATTAGCATGCAAGGACCTACAGATGTAAGTAAATAACTGTTGATACAGGGTATCTCTGCATTGAACTTTACTAGGAGGGATTAAATATTATTACACTAGAAGAAGAAAAGAAATAAGGATTCAGTCTTTACAATAAACGTCCTTGATCTATTTTATAAATATTAGTTACCTATGCACCTACATCCTCCCAGCCAAGTCATTTGTATCAGCCGTAATGTCACGTATAATTTGCAAAAATACCAACAGCAACTTTAATTTACATTTCTTACCTACAGCTTATCGAAATAGTTTTCCCGTGAAGGACGCTTTTCGAATCCCAGCGTTCCTGAGGATTTCCGGTTCAAGTGGCATTCCCTATCATCTAGACCACAGGATCCAGTAGCTAGACAATATGATCTACGCTGCTAGTCTCTTCCTAGGTGTTTTTGAGACTAATCTAAGAACAGCGTAGGATGTAATTGCTCATTGGAATCATATCCTTGCTATCGTAAATACGAGGTTGCGTGGCCTAATGGAAGGGCGTCTGAGAGTGGATCAGAAGATTCTGGGTTCAAGTCCCGGCGTAGCCGTTTGTCGATGTCGACTCAAGGAGCGCAGAAGTCGATGCTCTGTTTCTTTTTTCCTCTCTCTTTCTTCTTTTTGTTCGAAGAAACGGAAATCAGGCCATAAAAGCCTTGCATGGTGTCCTATGCAGTCAGTGTAGTGAATATGTTGCTTTTTACAATTGTGGACAAGATGGAGGGTGTAGTCGGTTGCATAAGCATATGCAGTTAATACCCAAACCAAAAGATAGCTTCGCCGCCTTCTTGGATGATGAACATGGGAAAGAGCCCGATGTGCCCTTCCAGTGGTTCTACCATCGGTTTCACTTTTCGGATATATCACCAGAAGGGTTATTGGATATCTATCATGACCTCTTGCGAAAAGCGACAGAACTTGGAGCAGGGCTGTCCGAGAACACGAAGAAACTTCCACATGGAACTGCGATCGCGCACAATATGCTGGTCACGAAGAAATGGATGGTCGTCCTTCCGAGGCGTCGAGCAGCGGTTAATAAAGAGGCTGGAGCGAATGCGCTTGGGATGATGGGAGTTATCGCCGTTGCGACGCAAAACGAAATTGATAATTGGATAGACATCGGACCTGCCAAAGCATTGGCCGAGCTCGGTGTGCCCATCGCTAGTTTCACTATATAGGTAGGTACTCATGAAAAAGAATTCTATCTGCCATTATCCCGACCGTTCCGAGACCCTTGCAACAAGACTTCCCGTAGGCGAAGAAAACTGCTTTCCGGATTTAAGAATCTCAATTAACTCAATATCAACACAAGAGATAGCCCATTTCAAGGCTGCATCTACTCCAACGCCCGCCTGTACGAGAAGCTTGACAAGTGGGATGTGACGTGTTCTCGTATCTTTGACCAGCTCTTCCCGGAGAGACGGGCTATCTTCAACAAGGTCGGAATCAGAGAGGAGCTTGAATAGGATAAGTCGGTCGTTATCGTCCGGGCATTCCGATGCGAGCTCACACGCTTGATGGCGGGTGTTCAAGAATATGTCGCTGGAGGTGGCGTAGGCGAGGACGATTGCTGTGGCTTGGACATCGTGGAATCGGAGAGCACTATGCAGGAGCGCGTCAGAGACCAAACTCGGGCGATTGGAGAGAAGAAGCAGAAGGAAGGATATGGACAAAGTCTCTCCGGCCTCGGCTCTAGAGAGCTCTCCATCGAGGCAGCCTCTCCATGTCTCATCGTCCATACAATCCGGAGCCGATAGTAACAATTCCACCAACTCAAGATTCCGGCCCTTGATCTGCTCATTGATTGTGTCATTAAACCCAGAAGCCACAGCTCCAAAGCTGAGAAGGAGTTTCACCGCCCGCAGAGACGAGTTGGACAAGGCGATGCCAAAAGCTCTATCCAAGATCTCTTGCCCTACCTGCGTTTGGCAGAGAAGATGGATGTAATTCACGTTGTCATGCTTCACAGCCTTGTCCAACCAGCTCATATCGGGAGCATCAAACACCACACTCACTCTCTTACTCTTCATCCTCTTCTCCAGCGTCACATCACCCAAATGCGCCCAAAGCTCCCCCAAGCTCCCCAAATCCACCGTCGTCAACAAAGCCTGCGCCACACCCGCAGGAGGCAGAACAGGCTGATTGATCAGCGTATCAAAAGCAACCGCAACCTCATGCTTTGTAAACGTCCATGTCGAAGTATCGCATAACGCAGCTTTTTGCTTTTCTGTGCGGAAGACGTGTAATCGTTGGTCTTCCGGTGGGATGTAATTTGGAGATGTTACTCGTGCTTGAACGAGGAGGTTGTGGGCTATTTCGCTGTTGGGGGAGGATTGGGAAAAGAAATCTTGGGATGGAGGAGTTGTGAGGCGAGTTAGGCGGAGTGGAGGTGAGAGGGAGACTTGGGCAAGTAAGTACGTTGTTCGAGGATCGTGTGCCATTTTTGTCTTGTTTAGTGCTTGTCAGTGGAATAAGATACTCTCTGGTGACAGCTCGTACAACTTATATATGCAATTGAGTGGCGATATGATGGCATCTTGGTAGCAGAATAATTCTACTCCAATACTTAGGCTGCCAGAAATAATTAGTCTAAAGATCAGTCTAAGCTCGCATTAAATGATCACATTATTTTTATCTCTTAGACCATCAGCAGTCGACTCTCACCGCACCGTCCCCATTCGCATGGCTCAATCTTGAGGACTTGATTCTCAGCTTCTCCATTGAGAGACGAATCACAGTGTTGACCAGGATGTTGATGCTGTTGGTAGTTGTCACCGAGTCAGACCATCACAAACTCGGCATCGGGCATCCCGAAGCACGACTACAATAGGCAATACATCTACCCAATTGGTCAATCGCCGACGCCCGATTGATATGGACGCAGAACAATTATCTCCGTTGAAATGACTTGCATGCTCGTCTACGCTGGCATTGGGTCACCAAATATTTCGTCCGATACCAATCGTCACAGATGGAATCAAGGAATGGGGG